TTTCGGGCCCTGCTGAAGGGTCCCGAAATTTTTTGGTAATCTAAAGGGCGAACGATGCCATTTGGTACGGTTTAGAACTATGATTCAGCTAGTCAAAATTTTAATTGCCAGAGAGGGAACATTGGTGTGATTTTTTTCAGAAATTGAAAGGGGCATCTGGACCCCCTGACACCAGCCAAAATCCGCCACTGCTGTGGATGATTTTCAGACCCATGGAGTGTACCTTTAAGGTTGAAATATTTGTAGTTACTTTTAAAAGCAATAACTCATTTTTTGTTATCATTAATAAAAAATCTATTTAATGCCGTTTGAGTTTATTTTTAAAAAAATCAAGTTTGATTTCATAGATATTGGGTCTCTTGTGAATAAATGTTTTTAACACATGCAAAATAATGAAGGTAACGTATACCCAGCTAACACAGAACGTTTTGATAACAGGGTTATATATTGGTTAGACCATCAACAAGTGTTAAGAGAACGTTATTCTAACGTTCTACACTGCCACTGTCATTGATCCGAGACACGTTGCCAGCAAGTTCTATTAACGTATATAAATTTTGATGAAATTATGCATTTTTGTTAATTTTAGCAAAAACACATGTACAAAGGATTTCATATTTTGTATCACTGCAATTTGCACAACTTTAATCATCATATCTAGTTTTAATTTAAAACGTTCTAACAATGTTAAAAAATAAAAAGATGTTTACCAATATTTGTCGCGCCATATTGTACGCTGTCGGACTAACGTTGGTCATCAAGCCTGCGTCATACGCTGTCTAAACCACACCTAGTGGCTGATTACATGTTGGGGTTGGGGTTGGTCGGTGACTAGAGCGATGAAATTTTTAAAACCCTCGGTCAGTCGGAAAGTATAAAAAAAGCTTGAAAAATAGACTTCTATTATGTTATAAGGTTTATCAAAATTATTTAAAAGGTTTTTTCAGGTAATCCTGATAGTTGATTGGCGTTTTTGATGAATTACTGGATTGTTTTGTCTTCATTTTAGAAAGTTTATTCTAACGAATTGCTTACAAGGTCAGCCAACACATGAGTTGTGAAAAGGTTTAGCAGTGATACCCTAACTGAAGCAAGTAAGGTTGGATGGTGCGCCACGGTCATCTGATAGACAAGTTGGGGGAGTCCATTCAGTGACAAGGATTTTTGTTTAGTGGTGAAAATCCACTCAATCTGAGGGATGTGAAGTGGGGCGACTCCATTCCAAATAAAGTTTTGTTATATGGGGCGATTCCATTCCATTAGAGGGGTGGCAGGTGGGGCGAGTTCATTGCAAAAGAGGGGCGACAGGTGGGACGAGTTCATTGCAAAAGAGGGGCGACAGGTGGGGCAGGTTCATTGTACTAAAGGGATGAAAGGTGGGGTGAGTCCACTGCATTAGAAGGAGTGATAGGTGGGACGAGTCACTGCATAAGAGGGGTGACAGGTGGGGCGAGTCTCGTAATTATCCCAATTTGGTTCAGAGAACAGACTCTGAAGAAATTGTTCTGTTATACCCTCAGGAATCAAATTTTTGGCCAATTCCAGTTGTATCCATTTACAAAAAAATCTCATGTGAATTTTTTAAAAACCAGGATTGTAAATTTATATAAATTTGAACTATAAAATGTAGGTTGTTGGAAAGCATTTTAGATATTTTATTTCAGTGCGCTAAAACAGCTGGGAGGGGTTATTTAAAAAATACTGGTCACTTTGCAATTATTTCAAATTTAGGTACCACAGAAAACCGTCAACCACAAAAACATTGACAATATTTACAGATCAAATTGAATTTGAAAGTCCTCAAATACTAAAAAAACTCATTTTCCATTATGATTACTATTATCCTTATCATAATAATTTCATAAAAAGTGAAAAATAAAACGGCAAATTACAAAAGTTATTTTTATTGAATTTTCACATGATAGATGTACGAAGGAGCGTGGGTTTCTGTGTGTGAAACAAAGGCTAGACTTCAGGCGGATGCTGTGCAGACTCTCGTTGAGCTCCTGGAAAGATAAAATAATGTTTACAACGTTGAACCATAGAAGTAGAGAAAACTAAACAGACAGGCTCTTTACATTCTAATAATACATGTAATAGGCCCTATCACAGGGCATAGAGCACATATAAATGGAACGGTGTGCACGTTTATTAACTAGTTTGATGTTCAGGTTCAGCTAGCGCAAAACTAAAATTATTATCTGAAATTAGTTAATGATATACCTATTTGAGGCCTCTTGTTAAAAAAGTAACGTTGATACATGTAGCACAACCCGTTTTATTTGCAGGGTGGTTGAGGTTATTGCTACGACCGTTAATATATTCCTCTTGATATTAAAAGTTATAACACGTGTTGTGGTACATTTACAAATTCTCTTCGAAAATTATAAAACCCTTGGATCAGAAGCTCAGAACGGTGACAAGCATCATCCATTTAATTAATTTCGGTGGCAATAGTTACATTTAAACACACACGATGTTTTAAATTAGGTCAAAATATTCAAAATTAATTATCAAGACCGGGGCACACAAAATGTTCAAACAGAGGGTTACAAAGTGCAGAGGATTTCAAGCAAACTTAGGTTATCATAAAATGTCAGATGAATGCAACGTTAACGTTTATCCTGAACATTTGGAGTCCTTTTATCCTGAACATTTGGAGTCCTAACGCACTGTAAGCAAAAATTTAACCATTCTGAGTGACATACAAGTAACAATGAAATTAAATATAGTAATAGGATTCATGTCATAAATATTTGTCGTAAATATTTTTCTCATTCTTCTGCGCCTTTAGTATTTAATGGCTGTGGTTGATGAAAAAATAGTGATACTCACAAACATATATTTGCTTCCACGCCTTATGAATGTTCAACCTTCTGACTGCACCACAGATACTGTTGTGTCTACACCCGACTCTGTCTAACTGCCAAGTGAGCATTCGGGAAGACAGCTCGCACTACGATGAACAACTTGTTGTTATGCAAATAACAACAAGTATAGCTCATTTTAGGTGAGTGGTCGTTACTGAAACTGTTCGCGAAAGTTCAATAAACCCTGTGGTGATACCTTCATATGCTCAAAGTCGTGCAAATATTCGATGTCACATACGATACTCTACAAGGCCAAAAGTGTCTTACTGGGCCTACTACACATGTAGCTCAGGTGTAACAGGAATGGAAGTCCACTAGGAACCGTGGTCCGCTTCCCATTACTTTGTACCGGTGTCATTCGTCCCAAATACTCCAATTAACCCTAACCTGTACTAATCATATGGGAGCCCGGACTTCCATTCCTGTTACACCTGTTTCCCCTATGTGATAATTATTCTGAAAAATCAGCAATGGGTGTCTTTCTTCACACACACAAAATAATAATAATAATAAGAAGAAGAATAAAATAAAATAAAATAAAATTAAATTAAAATAAAATAAATCGATAAGGTCTACTGCCATGCTACGTACGATTCATTTTGCTAATTCATGGAATCAGAAGTTCGGTTTTTTACGCGAACAAAGACGTGAGACGTCAATGATGTATGCATCATATCATTGTTAATTTCTCATAGTCTTATATTTATATAAAACAACTTGTACCAGATTTTCTACTGGTCTTTCATGTGGTCAGGCCCTAGCTATAGATAAAACGTCAATGTTCATATGAATGAGTAGGCCTACATGTAACAAGGACCGAATAGGCCTAGGCCTACAGTTTGATGGGTTCTAGTTGGACTACTGAAAAACACACTTAATAGCTTTATTTATTTTGTCGACTTATTTATTTACCAATCAGACTGTTAATAGGGGCAGATCCAGGATTATTTGAAGGGGGCGGGGCGGAAAGACAGACCTTGGATGCGAAGCCGACCATCGCCCCCTTGGTGTGGGGTTTGGGGCCTGCTCAAGGGCCCCAAAATTTTTTGGGTTTTCTGGAGAGCAAGTGCGACTGTGCCCTTTGGTACGGTTTAGAAATATGATTTAGCAAGGAGTTTCATTGGATTTAGCTAGTCAAAATTCTAATTTCAAGAGGGGAATATTGGTGTGATATATTTTTCAGAAACCGAAGGGGGGTCAGAACCCCCCTGACCCCCCTCTAAATCCGCCACTGATCATTATAATATATATCACGTATGATCAACGCAAGTGCAATGAACGATACAATACAATACAATACAATACAATAAATTTTATTTCATGTCGGTTATAAATTGAATGGAAACATTAGCTTTACAGCTATTCTCCGACTGTGTAAGGACAAAAACATATCTACAATAATGCAATATTAGGCCCTACACATGAAGTCTAGTAAGAGAGTAAAAAAAAAAAAAAAACCTACAAAGAGTATACAAAAACAAGAAATCTATTAAGAAAACAAATTAGAAAAAAGAGAAAAAAATTTTTTATGGGAAATGTGCAGAATGCTATAGGCTACCTAAATCAACTGTGAGAAACAGACAATTTTACATACAATGCTCAATGATAGGCCCTACAGTTATATAAAACAATGTAAACATGACGTACATTGTTTTATATAACTGTATCATTGAGCCCGTAGGCTACGGGAACTAAATGTAGGCCCATCTAGGCTACGATAACGCCTCGGTCTACGGACTTCATGATTTTCAAATTTTGCCAAAGTTGACTAGCTGATTAATAGTACTAAACCGTACCAAATGACACCGTGCGCCCTCTAAAATACCAAAAAATTTTCGGGGCTGCTCATCGGGCCCCAAACCCCACGCCAACCGGGGGAGGGGGTTGGGCTTCGCATCCGCCCCCCCCTCCCCCCTTCAGTTAATCCTAGATCCGCCCCTGCAACGTGGACTTCAATTTAATGCTTGACAAATATTATATCTGGAAACTGGACTATTAATTTTGGGTCTACCAGAGAATCACACCTAACACAGTCTTAATATGCCCCGCACCACTGCATTTTCCCGTTCAACAGGAAGCGATATCAATATAATTATTAACCAATCAAATCGCTTGCAATTTTCACTGCTACAGACAATATGGCGACATTCCTGGTGTGCCGATTTTGTAATCGGTTGTTTCAATCGAAGTTTCAGACTCCTGTAAATACAATCAGAGCTTCCAAATTGCCAAATAGGGTGAGTACGAGCACCAAAAGTAAACTTATGTTATCTGATGTAGAATTTCATATTCGTTGTCGCCAGGCCTCGTCATATCCCCTGGCCTTAGTCTTTTGCAGACGAATTTCAGATTGATTTATTTACGTAAGTTCTGGCTGTGAGTGATGCAACTGGAGCTGTGATTTCATGCGCTCTTACTCTTGAAACTAAGGAGAAAAAACCTTTACTTAACAATAAGTGAAATGCAATATCACATTTGTTAAGGAGATCCCTAGTTCCCTCTTATATTCCTTTGCAAATTCAGGATAAGTGCCCACAATTTGGCAATTGAAAAGGGGAGACACATGAATCCTAAAATACCCATAGAGAAAAGGCTATGCACGGTGTGCAACATGGGGTCAGTTGAGGATGAGTTCCATTTTATGATGATATGCCCCTCTTATGCTCCACTAAGAGCCATATTCCTTAACCAGGTTAAAGATATACTGGGCAGTGCAGCCCCTGAGTCCATCAGTGACCTTTTTATTACTGTACTGCAATGTAATGATTTTGATATTGCAAAATGCACAACTAATTTTCTTTATGATTGTTTTAAAGCTAGGGATATGAAAATTGCATCCATGCTGAATAAAACCTAGATTAACTGATGATGCAGTTTTCATATCCCCCCAAATAATAGTTAGTTTAATATAAGGTTTAGTGTAGCCTATTCTAGTTGAATCAGTTTTTTTTTTTTTTTTTAATTATCCCTATATTGATCTTTATTGAGTAGTACATGTACTTTCCCTGCTTTAGTCTAGACATTATATAATGTATATCAAACTGTATATNTGTATAAGCACAGGTGCTGATCTTATGTGATATGCTCCAATTTTAGTGATATTTGGAAGAAAATCTTAATTAATTCATTAGACTTTTCAGCTAGCTTTCAGAAACTAAGTTTATCCTAGAATAAATAATTAAGACTACTTAACCTTTTTTCAAAACTTTGATCAGTACAAGCTTACACCGTGCTAAAAGATTGCACTGGTACAATGTATGCACATAGAAATATGCTGTATTTGAGAGCATCAAGCGATAATTGTGAAAGTGAAATTTTTTTTTTTACCTTTTTTTTCAGTTATTTTTCTCCACACTACACGAGGGTAGAAATGGGCTTCCTAAATTATTCAAGAGGCAGTTTTCATTACAAGTCAAAGAAAATAAAAGGACAAAAACTCAGAAATGGACTAAAAGAGTAATAATAAGTGGCTCACTTATAGCAGCCTGTGCCGGATACTATGCAACATTGGATAGTATACGCAAGAGAAAACTTAGGGTTATAGTGGAGGGGTTTGGTAGATTCTGGAGGTATGGTCTGTGTAATTCTTTTTATTAAAGGATATATATTATATATATAAAAGACTCATGAGACTAATGCGTAGCTCAAAACACTTGTTGAGATAGATTTTAATTGCGTTCCAATATTCGTCCATTCATTCTTATCTTAATGGTAGATTTCTAAAATATTCAATGATTTATCAGTCTTTGATGTGAAGAAGACTGGGTTTTATTTTGGTATTTTAATACAATTTGATTCAACTCAATGAATTAAATAGTCATAGAAAATTTTTTAATAAATATTTATATTAAACAAGTTAGGCTGTGTGTCATTGATGACGATGTCTTATCTTTTGCATGTTTCAGGTCATTAATCATAGGACTTACTATTTCATTAGATTATAAATGGACCTTTTGGGGGTTCCCGGATGAGGTGAGACCTAATATTTATGATTTTGTATGTTGAAGAAAAAAATTATTTTAAGATATAATCTAGGATCAAATTAATGACATTCAGTGTGCAAATGTATACCTGCAAGTGTTTGTTTTTTATGAGTGCACTTATGTTTCAGGTAAAAAACAAACAGGCTGCTGTGTGTTGTTAATTATAATTATATACAGAATTAATATAAGAAATGTACACACAAAATACAGGCATAATTACAATACAATACCCCAAATGCTATGCTGTCTGTGAATAATGTGAAATTTCCAGTCTTCTTGCATCTTACCTTTTAGGATTCCGAGGACTATGAGCGTGAACTGCGAAAGTGCCACACACGAGCAGCGGAGAGGATTCTCCATGGTTGCCTTCAGAATGGAGGCCTGTATGTGAAGCTAGGACAGGGAATGGTGTCTATGAACCATATACTTCCCAAAGAATATGTAGGAGTCCTGGAAGTGCTGCAGGATAAGGCTCTGAAGAGGAGACCACATGAGGTAAGTATAAGACCCCATTCCCAGACCTAGCAGGTTCGATCTCTCAGAATCGACCTAACTCCAAGGGAATTCTCGCTAAATTGTATTCAGATTAAGCAGCTTAGATGCCTGGTACACCTACTGAAGCTGCTTAACAATAATTAATTACCCTCTAAAAGCTTCAGAAAGTGTGCCAGAAATCAGAGACTCTTAAGCAGGATTGATCTAGATATGGGAATGGGGTCTATGAGTCAGGAGCACTTCTCACAACGCATCAAAAGTCAACTTTGAGATTAAGTTTGTAGTGGTTTCATAGTCAAAAACGTCAGTTAACTATCACAAAGTTAGTCCAACTACTGCTGCTAACATGCTGTGGACCCATAATGTTTGATTTAATATATATATATGCACATCTTGGATATAGATTGACCAGTTATTTATGGAGGACTTTGGGAAGACTCCCCAGGAGATGTTCAAGGAGTTTGATCCAGAGGCCATTGCAGCAGCCAGTCTCGCCCAGGTCCATAAAGCAGTCACACATGAGGGTGACACAGTGGCCGTTAAGGTTGGTAGTCGACAAAAGTGTGTAACTTTAAGTCTTTGCCAGATTAAGCTTCATCTAGTTAACATGTTTGCTGCTTGGAGGCAAAAGATATCACTTAATGAACATTTAAATGTCACAGTTAAAGGTTCAGTATATAACCAAATTAAGGGTTTACTGTATGGAGGCAAAAGAGTTCAGTTGGTGAACTTTTTTACATTTAATGAAAAAGTTCATTAAATTATAGCAGTTTTATCATGGAAATTATCTTAAAAGCTGTGTGACAATTTCAATAAAAGATGGGCAGTCATTAATATTAATGTTTTGTCATTGTTCCAGGTTCAGTATATAGACCTAAGAGACAGGTTTGCAGGAGATATCAGGACTTGTGAGATTTTATTGGATATAGTGGGATGGATGCATCCAAAGTTTGCCTTCAAGTGGGTTTTGCAGGTAAGTCAGATTTGGTATGTACTCTCTTTAATTAGATACCGTTACCATATTGCTTTGTAAAATTTTTTTTTTTTTTTTTTTTCAAATTAATCAAAAACAAATTTTTTTTGGTTTTTTTTTAATATTAGCGTAAACCAATTTCTGGTTAATTAATGTAACAGTAAGCATCTCTTTGTTCTCATGCATATACATCCATCCCCACATATTGAAAAAAAAGTTATACATAAAGGCTGGTTTCACCTTATAGTATAAAAATCTCTGACTGAATATTTATATTTTAGTCATATATTAAAAACAATATTCCAGGACTTAAAAGGTACGCTTGCCAAAGAACTGGACTTTGAAAATGAGGGATGGAACAGTGAGAGATGTGCTCAAGACTTGCGTCACCTTCACTATATCTACGTACCCAAAGTTGATTGGGATAAAACAACTAAGGTATCACTGTAACAGTCCAATATAATATAATAATATAATATATAATTTTTTTTAGTTTTTTTAAGATTAGGCAATAAACTAGATCATTATCAACTTGTCAGAAATGTTATATTTGGTTACTTTGAATCTGATTCAATGAAATAACTTGCCAATAGGTTGTTAATATGTTGTCTAGCCAGGGCTTGTGAAAAAAAAAGCTATCAGTTTAAAGATTTTATTTGTTAATTTATCATATTTAATCTACCAATAGCTTAAACAGAAATTTCACTTGAATGCTGTCAGTTTTTTTCACACATTGGTCTTACATGTCTATATTAATGATAAAAACTAAACTAATATTTTGTTTATCTGTTGAAATAGTTGAAAAAAAATGGTATTCATGTTTCTTTGCATTATGTTACTGGTAACTTTCTATATCCTCAGAGAGTTTTAACCACAGAGTTCATTGATGGCTGTAAAATAAGTAATATGCAAGCAATAAAGGATATGAACATCTCACTAAAAGATGTAAGTATAATATATGAGTCCTAAAAATAAAACCAAGGTTTTTTTATGTGAAGTCATAATTTGAAATACAGATTACCCAAGCAGCCTGTGTGATAAATTTACTATATATTCAGGGCATGTCCTATTCCTTGTATTTTTTCAGAGATAAGTGTACAATTATTTTGTAAGTGTATTCTTTTTGCTATTTCCCAACTGACTCATTAGACTATAGAAGAAAAGAAAGGGAATTCGATATTATGCTGAAAAATACTGATTTTTAAGCAAAACCTTTATCTTTACACTTATTTACATACTTCACTAGTAACATATCCCTAAGTGGTGTAAGCACAACTTTCTCTGCCACTTTACAGGTAGACTACAAGCTAGTGCAGTGTTTTGCTGATCAAATCTTCCTCTCTGGTTTTGTACATGCGGACCCACATCCAGGAAACAGTAAGTGGGTGTGCATGCATATGTTTGTATGTGCTCAGGTTCACGTGTGTATATATGTGTGTGTGTGTACAGGCATGTGTGTGAGTGATCATGCATTTGTGAGGGCATTTATGTGTGCACATGTGGGTGGATGCATTTGTATGAAGAATATGGATTTTTCATGTTTTGGGAATGAGAGAGAGTGGATAAATGCATCTGAGTGCCAAGTGGATGAGAGAGAGAGATATATATATAGAGAGAGAGAGTGGAAATTGGCCAATGTGTATGTGGATATCAAGGGGATATGTGGTAGCCAGGGCAGAGTTGGTACTATTGGACCCTGTACTATATAATACGTTTGCAAGTTTTCAGGATTATGCCTGATTTCACAATTTTCAGTCTTCATTTTGATAGTTTTTTTCACATGATCTAAGTGCACTGAGAAATGGCAAACTACATTTTCAGGATAATCAATTTTTACAATTTTCACCCATGCATTTGTTATTATTATATTTTAGTATTTATAAGGAAGGGTCGTGATGGCAAGGCAGAGCTGGTACTGTTGGACCATGGACTATATGAGTATCTGCATCCTAAGGACAGGGTAGCTCTCAGTCACCTCTACAAGGCTATAGTGCTCAAAGATGAAGAAAACATGAAGTATTACTCTGAGCAACTTTCAGTTAAAGGTATTTTACTTATTAATTTTCATGTAATTGGACCAGAGTTTTAATTCAGACATATATGTATCATCTTTTTCATAAACAGGGATGCTAGTCTTCCGGTTTTTACCGGAATTCCGGTTTTTTGCGTCCAGTTATAAAATTTTCTGGTACTATATTTTGTTCCGGAATTCTCGTTTTTAACGTGGTCGCGGACTGGACGAACGATGCGTCAGAGGAACGTCGCATTTCAACCATTGCGACAGAGCTGCGTTTCAACACAATATCTAGTCACAACCGTAGCACGTGATTTATTTATGGCGCTTGATTGGTTGGAAATGTAGGCTTTAATGTCGGCACCCATGTGGAAAGTTTTGACACCGCGTGCGCGGAATTTTGAACTAAACCAAACTAAATGGATTTCGCGGAGAGGGGAACAGACGATATTAGAAACATCGACATTACTGTCAAAAATAGATTTAGTTGGAGTTTTAGAAACTTTGATTAATGAGACTGCAGTTGGAGCCCCATTGTTGCTTGGGCATTACCACGAAAGCCATTACCAATCTTTGAAAATGATAAATGAAAGGGATTAACATTTAGTGACTATCATTATCATGCTGGTGATTATCAAGCTTACGTGAGGGATCATTACTGTCTACTATGGGTGGTAGGTGTTTATGTACTGATGGCACTTCCATCTTGTCAATGTCAAGATTATCCTTGGAAACAACTGTTGAAAATTACCATGAAGTTGTGATGACATATATTGCAATATATTTATTAAATAAAATTTGAAATATAGTAATTGTTTCATAATCAATTTGTACCCCCCCCCCGGTCTTTGCCAAAAAAAAGTTCAGGTTTTCTTTCCGGACCCCACTAGCATCCCTGCATAAAGTTTTTTTAAAGTTCTGCAAACAAATTGTTTTAAATAAAGATATGTGGTTTTATCAAGCCTAATTTGAATATGTATGGATATATTTAAATGTTGATCCCTGATCCTGCATCCACATTAAGTTTTCTAGAGTATAACTAATGTTCGAGTATAATTGTACCCCAGAGTAAAACAGGCTTGATTTTACACATATACCATATGTCCCAAAGTAGTTGACTTAACCGCTATTCTCCCAGAGTATTACTGGTTTGACTTAACAGATATACTCTAAGCCCCAGATTGTAACTCTTTTAACATGACAAGTAAACTCTACGCCCTGGAGTATTACTGGTTTAACATGACACATATACTCTATGTCCCAGTTTTTCTGGTTTGACTTAACAGATATACTCTATGCCCCAGATTGTAACTGGTTTAACATGACAAGTAAACTCTACGCCCTGGAGTATTACTGGTTTAACATGACACATATACTCTATGTCCCAGAGTATTACTGGTTTGACTTGACACATAAACTCTATGTCCCAGAGTATTACTGGTGTAACTTGACACATAAACTCTATGTCCCAGAGTATTACTGGTTTGCCTGTATGCTGGTACAGAGACTGGTGCCTCTGCCAAGCAAGTTAAAGCTGAGGGTGACCCACTATACCAGGAAAGAGTGGAAACAACTGCCAGAAGAGGAGAAAGAGAGACTGCGAGCCATTGCCAAGGGCGTACATGATGACATTTTGCAGATATTCCATGACATGCCTCACTCTTTGTGGTTTATATTTCGGTAAGGGGTCCTGACCAATGGTGGTTTGCACCCGAGGACAGACGAGGTTTTGTTGGGATGTCATGACGATATGACAGGCACTGTAGTGATGGGACAGAATGAGAGCTAGGTCTCCTGCTTCTGATACAGTTGTAGCAGTTTTCTGTGAGGGTCGTGAAGTCATGGCGGGGCAAAAGGAACTTGTGATGCTTGGGTCACTTTTATGGTTCTAGTGATAGCTAGACCTGAGTGATCAGATTGAGAACTGCCTCCATTTAAACTGAATTGATAAACCCTTCGGGTATCCTTCCTAATTTGTTATGAGATGGATAATATAGGAAAATTGAATCTCATGCCAATTCCAATTTCCTTAACTGGAAACAAGATTTTATAATAAATAATCTCAACATCTGGTCAAAGGTCTACATCATGGAATCCCCAAAGGCTTCATTGAGAATATATGAGCAATACTTATCAATACCAGTATAGTGAAACCTTTCACTTTTCAGACCATAACCTATTTTGTGAAATCCTGGTCCAACGCCCTGTGAAACGCAACACATTTTTCCTGCCCAGTAAAATGACCGAGGAAGATGTGCGCTACATGCAGAACATGGCCAAAGATCACTTTGATCAAGTCATGGCCGTCCTCCGTGACATGCCGAGGTGTATGTTACTAATGATCAGGTGGGGGCTTAAATTATATTAACGCCTTTGATAGACTCGTTTATGCCCAGTGTTATTGCATTTACGCCCTAACAAGAAAGTTTTTTTTTTTGCTGATTCACCCTGTATTTTGCTTTTGGTCTGTAAATGGCTAAAATTTTAAAGTTAAAAGATGGCAACATATAATATCTCCAATAAAATGCTCACTCTTTTTTTGTCCTCGAAGATTTGCTTGCTTTGTCTTTTGTTATCATTTGGCAGCTGCTTCGCTCTTCGTTTTTTGCCTCATTTATTTTCTACTGCAACTGAATTCCCATAATGTTCATTTAGGAATTAGTTCTCTTAGATGTGCTGTAAAACATGTTTGAAGGAGCTTTAGCTCAATTATGTTCTGATGGAATCACTTAAGCTCTAAGTTTGTAAAGACAAATTGTGTGCTTTTTATTACCAGGATTTCACTTTCATTTATTTATTTATTTATATTAATAATAGGATTTACTTAATTGTGCTCAGCTGATAAATAATCAGTCACTACTGATTAACCTAGGAATGATAATAAATTTTCAGTTATGTTCCCTATAAACGGGGCGGGTGGGGGGGGGGGGGATGGCTTATTTGCAGCTCTGTCCTGTTTCTCTCATTCTGTCCCATGTGCTGTGCTTTCAGCCTGTCAAGCACTCGCTTTCAATGTTGTATATCACAGAATATGGTAAAAATTGACAAATTAAAAGACTTTTTACTTAAATAACTGACTGATTAGTTGGCAGTCTTTCAACATGCATATTTAATACCAGGGAGCCTTCACCTCTTGTATGGGGAATCTCCCAATTAGTTTAAATTTATATTCTCTTATATTCATTATCTTGATGTCACCTGTGCCATTTCTCAAAATGTATTTATTTTTTCATCAACTTTGTTTCAGAAACTTGAACACGATACGAGCTATCAACCGTATCCATGGGCACCCAGTGGACAGATATACTATTATGGCAAGGAGGTAATGTTGTGCCAGGTTTTTATACACTCTAAGGTCACATTGTGAGGGGGTAATTAACTGTTGTTTAGCAGCTTCAGTAGGTGTGCAAGACATCTAAGCCTCTTAAAATGAATGTAATTTAGCGAGAAACCCCTCGGAAGATGGATTGATCCTGTTAGATCGATCTAGGTATGGGAATGGGGACTCAGGGCACATTCAGAACAATTAGATCCGTGATCGAAGAGCGCATTCAGAACAGCAGACTAACAGATCCGTGGATCAAATATGGCTGACCCACTTGAATGCTTGTTGTTTAATCCCTGTGGGGAATCTATCCAGTGTCTGATTGGAGAATTAAGCCTCAAGCTTTTAAGCTTGCTGCATAATCCTAATAGATTCCCTGCCAGGTTTATGTGGCAAGCTTTCAAATGGGCGGGCCATATTTGATTTGTGGATCTGTTTGTCTGCGGATCAACTTTGGTTGTTAATGCGGCCTTAATAAGACTAATTGTATCAGTGTGCTATCATATGAGCACATACCAGGTCAAAGAAATAGTATACTGTCATTTGTCTAAAACCATACAAGTTTTTTTCCCCAATAGAAACTTTTAGAAGAGGTACAGAAAGTGTGTGTATTAGTAATGTTATTCAGTATTTCTTATATGTGCTTTATGAGCTGCCATTAGACAGTGAATATTATAGTCCAATGTTACATTATTTAATAAAGTTATTCATAAAATATTTCCAGTGCTATAAAGGGCTGCCATAATGACAGTGAATATTATAGTCCAATGTTATATTATGTGTATCAGTAAGCCAGGGCTTTTCCCAGTATGGGGGTGCAGGCCGTTCAAAATTACCACCTGTAATTTCCAACAAAATTTCAGCGGAGTCCAAGTATGCCTAAAGCTGTCATATTTCCAAAAATTCCATTAGCCATCTTCGAAAATATAGGTCGTCCGGTGATGCTGGCGGCCATACAAATGACAGCTGGAAGGTTTGCTGGGAAAACCCTTTAGTAAAGTCATTCAGAATAATATTTCCAGTGCTGTAAAGGCCAATGTTATATTATATGTATTAGTAAAGTTATTCTATGTACATTCAATACATATATTCAATATAATATAATATTTTCAGTGCTATCAAGGGCTGCCATGTGTCCGAGGGACAGAGGATAGGACTGCTGGGGACAGTCAGGACCCTGTGGGAGAGATGTGTGCTGGATTACAGCTTATTGTGAGTTGGAGTCATGTTGGAAAAATGTACATGTGATGCTGACAGCCTTCCACAATAATATTCTCTTCTGGCATGTATTTAGACATTTCATTGCCATTCCATTTGGTGGACTTTCAGTTAAGATCAAGAGATGAAATGCCATGAAGATTGTACAGTTAAATTAGAAAGTCATAAGTATGATTAGTATTAATTTTGTTGGTTCTTATGGGATATGAAAAGATGTATGTACAGAGAGAAGGGTACAGATAATAGGAAGGGAAAAACAGTGTGGAATAGCCCATGGAGATTTTGCTTAAAATACCAGGAGGCATTACTTTATTATTATTATTATTATATTTAATTTATTCAAAAATCGTATGTTTGTTTGATCTGTGGTTGTTTCACCTTTTTTGTGGTAATTTCAGGTCAGAGCGCTTTAAGTTTTGGATCATCGTGAAATACATCCAAGTGATGCATTACCTCGGAAAGATACCTGATGTGATGACCATGATCCAGGAACAGGAAAGAAAGTGAGCAGTTTCTTTATTAAGTTGTGAACTCGCATCTCAAACTGGTTTACATATATTGTTTACATATATCTTCAGACACAGCATGTGTCAGTATATTTGCCAGCTTTGCTGTATAGTTTATTTTGGTAAACATCCCCATTACGGTGCAATTCAGTCATTCAGATATTAAGTATTACTGCTCAGCTTCCAGGTATTTATCTGAACATTATAATATAATACATTTTTTTATGATTTAGAAAAAAATTTATATTAAAACTAGCTTGTAATATAATACTCCTTGATATTTCAGGTCTGTTTTGGTCTTTCATATTTAATTAATATTTTCAGGTATGAGAGATTATGATCACATTCACAGAGACATGACATATGTGACTTCCACTGCCTCTAACTCACCAGAGGAAAAAGATTTATGGATAGTAGAATTTCTCACCTCACCAGCGGGATAAAATGATTCATTAGTGGATATGAATATTTAACGAATGGCCAACACACATATTTAATAATTTATTCTTTAAAATGATTAGATATATTGGTTATTCTGACTGACAGTGCCCTTTGCTTTCTGCAGTAATTCTATAGTTTCTTACTAGATGGAGAAAATGCCAACATATTTTTAGAACGATATTTATTGTGACTGTTCACAATTTTTTCAATGGTGCGTTACCATTACTAATGAGATTGGTCTTTGGAGTGGATTAAAAGAGGAAATACATGAAGCAGGGACCTGACTTCAAAGTATATTGGTGTTACTAAAAGTAAATAGCTAAAGATGGGGTACACTCTGCTAGTGTACTCTGTATAAGATATCATTCCCATACCCTATTGAACTAGCAGGATCGATCTACATCTATCTCTGAGGGGTTTCTTGCTAAATTGCATTTAGTTTAAGCCTGCACAAAAGTGAATTACCCCCCTGGCAGCTTTAGTGGGCGTGACAGACATTTAAGCTGCTTAAACTGAATGCAATTTAGCGAGAATCCCCTCCGAGTTAGATCGATCCTGCTAGTACGATAGGTTTATGGGAACCCAGTCTAAGAGATAAACAGCATGGATGCTCCACAGACTGCATTTTATACATACAGAAGAATCTGTATACACATGTTTCAATTATTCAGAACCTCGTTGAAATGTACTTTGATAGGTGTGGTGTGTGTGTGAAGTGGTGAAATAGGATAGGAAAGTTGCTTTCTTTGCAGGAAGCTTTTTTATTTCCTGCTGCAATCAATTTTGTATTGAAGTCATTCAGATTGAGATTTTTCTCATAAGTGGCATTGGTTTGGATTACCCTGAGGTTCAGAGTTTTTGGAATGGGATTGCTCTACCTCCCATACACAATCACCCCGAGTTTCAGAGCATTTACAATGACTTCTTTGGACAGAATGCTGTCTGTCATCCAGAATCACTGACTTTTCTCTACCTGGACAATTTTTAGTCTCATTAAAAGAGGGGGATAACTACCCCCCCCCCCCCCATTATGCCGTAATATGAGGATGCTCTGTATACTGTGGTATACTGCGTGAGGTAGAAATTGTAACACAAACCAATCCTAACTCAATTCTTTTTTATGGAAACCCTCCGCTGTGTATTATACATGTAAGTGTTAACTGTATGTTGTTGATGTACGTGTAGTCACTTGTGAATAGATATCAATAATTTTGAAAATAGAAACAGATTGAAAGACTTCTTTGAGAAACATGCTGAGATTAAACTATTATACTTTACCGTAGACTTAATGTTATTACACTGTAAAATATTTTTATGTAAATGATGTGGAAGTGCACAATTTATATAAAATGATGTGCTTCTTGCCATTATGACATAGATTTTGATACAGTCTTAATTATTTATTTTGGCAGATTGGGGTTTTAGTCAAAATTCAGGGTAAGAACGGGTCAGTTGGATGCTCACTATAGTGACTTGCAATCAGTAATTTATAGCATGACTATGAAACTCAAAACAATACATTTTATTGACTATTTATCATAATAAAAATTGTAGTTTAAGTATTTATTCATTGCAAGCATGTGCTGTAAGATGTTTTTTACATACATAAACGCATAAACTGTTACATAGAAAATAAACTCCCTATTTTGAAGAAGTGGAATTCTTGTAATGGTGTACGTGAATTTCTCTCTCTCTCTCTCTCTCTCATGACCTCAATAAAAAAGTTGTAGCCTAAACTGCAATTTACTATACAACGAGGTGTTAACATGAAATAAATAACGTCTTTTAGGACTCGCCTGTTTTTCCACACGGAAAACCATCATCTCAAAACCTTAATAAACTAAAGTCTCTTTAAAAAGGAAAATCGACTTGTAAATGAAAATAAACATTAATTATCATCTGGTAAATTTAACAGTAAGTACCAATGCAATATGTTACAAGTAATCCTAATGGAACAATACTTGATCAAAACAAATTATTGCAAGGAGTTTGCGGATGCGGCAATGATTGTTTCGCTGACAAACACAGATAGCGCCACATATCGATCGCATTGTGCCGCCTCGTAGAACTCCCTTGTCCAAACAAGTCGATGCTGTGTACCCTGCTAAATAGCACAACTTACTCGGATGTAATACCGCCGATTACATACTGAAAAGGTTAGGCTGACTGTGCCAGGGCTTTGGATAAGAACGTCGATATCTGCGCTTTGCTTTTGTCATCTTTTTCTCGGTGTTGAGCTCTGCTTTTGTTAAACTGTTAGCACGATAAATGTGGCTTGATATAATGGCGTTTGTTCTGCCAGGCAGCATTGATCTGTACGTTTATTTTATTTGGCAGTTTTAGATAAGTGTAAATTACGTTTCCGACCAATTCTCTTCCTTGTAAAAGGGCCAAAAAATAAAAATGCAAAGTATCGTTTGTCCTTTTTACAAGCTAGGTATGTTATGCTTTCATTGGGGTCAACACATCTTACGATATAATCCACGGAAATTAAGGATGGATGTTGAATCAAACGAGATTGAACATCTTGTTGCATACGTAACCTAAAATATTGAAACACAAATCGGTGTCTACAAAGTTGTCTAAATTTAGATGTTGAAATACAAAGCAGGTTTGATTTTTGCCTTGACGACGCGCGGAAGGTTTGTTTTTTATCGGACAGGGTCAATATTCAATGGGAAAACGGCATATTTTACTGACTTTAAGCTCGGTTTATTTTACCGGCGGGGCGTTCCGCAAAACGTCGTTGATGTCAGCACCGACTATCAGTTAAAAGGTGATCACTGAAGCGCACTGGCACTGTTTCATTATATCGAACTTGCACCCTCTTCTACAGGCTCAAGCTTATACAATCGCCAGATCCAGACAAGCTGGCAAAAACAACAATGATAATAATAACATATTTATAGTCTAAAATCCATAAAATGTTCAGTAGATTTTACAACGTATAAAATTGATAAAAGTCTATAGCTAAGAATGATTAGGAGTTAAGTGGTACATATAATAAAAATTTGACTATAGGAAAAGTAATTACAAGTACCGTTCTGATCTCTCAATGGATTATATTTACTCATCTGTCAAAAGTTTCCTCTTACCTGTATTTTAAAAACATTTTAATAAACTCTATCTAGCATCTCAAAAGTTTTTTTTTTTTTTTGTCTGTCCTTATGTTATCTGTTTATTTACCTAAAACAAAGTTTAAGACCTTGCCTCAAATTTGACTCAAAGAACACGAGTTTTTAGCTCCCAGTCTTTTTATAAAATTAAAACAGATGAAGCTTTATTATAGTTAACTCGAAGATTGATTGCTACATTATCCGGTTGTACCGCTTGTTTTCTGACGTGTAAAAGTACGTCAAACCGTCTTCTCCGCTGAAGAGGGTATGACGGTGAATATCGAACCGAGTCGGCTATTTGTTCATAAGACTTCATTGTTTGAATAATTAATGCGTCACACACGCCTTGCATCTCTCATTTGAACACCCAATTGAGCTGTCTGTCACAAACAGATCTCTCTTTAAGCAGAACAGAGACCGTGCGCTTTTTAGAAGCATGGCAGATTGAAGAAATACTGAAACAGCATTCGGATAAAATGAAGCCATCAACGCACTTTACACTGGTGGCGTCTTTCTTGGCGCTCCTGGTAAGTTTTGTTTGACTATTTTTTGTAGTGAATTTCTCTCCGCCGAGAGCAGATTTCTGTCAGTGTACGTGGAGTTTTTTTTTTTTTTTTTTTTTTTAGAATAAGTTGAAATGTAGAACATGGATGGTTTTACGCAGTGAGTTAATTTAACATGAAATTTGAGTGTCACATACATTGCGTCTTGTTCAAATAACCCATGAAAAACAAATAATCCATGAAAAACAACAAAGGGTTTACTAATGGAATTTACAAAGCGTATATAACGAAAGGATATAATGTTTGTACCTGAAGAAGCATTGAAATGTACAAAAGGTCGCTGTTTTGTAACGATGTTGGGTAGCTACGGTGAAAATTAACTATGGACAAATCACAACAAACTTGAACCCCAGAAAAACAGATCAGCAATCAAAATCAGATCAAAATCAGATCTTACGAAATTGTCAAATAAAATAAATTCTTTAAAGACAGTCTCAGCGCGTTAAACCCTTAAAATAGCACGAAAATGAATTTTCCTGGAAAACTCACCAATTTCCCCATAATGACCAAGGTATATCCTATCCAAAACCGTTCAGAAAATGAAGCTACCTAATACCGTTTTTAAGTTCCATTAAATAATAAAAGACGACTCGTCTTAAATACTCAGCTACCACCTCACAGTACGGCTTCAGAACGCGCAATTTCTCGCTAAGTCTCGCGGTTTACTATGAATGAAGTACTACGGCTGAGACCCGGATGTTACTATTTGGCGCCAAAACAGCAAACATGGCTCAGACGCGCGTCAAGTCTGAACAGGAGAGCGACAAAAGGGGGCGAAAGAAAATAGCCACTCCAGTTCGAAAGATACGAAAGAAAATTAGAGACAGACGAAGAAGCACTCAGACTGTGTATGTTGGGAGGGAGGTGGGGCGGTGGAGGACACTTAAAGCTGAGTTAGGACTCACATACGAGGCAATGGCGAAACTACTCCTCGACACGTGAGTATGCGCTTCACAGGTCTCAAGTGTGTCTGATTATCATATTATCCTGTTCACAATAAATGACAATATTTGTGCTCATACAAAGTTGGTTACGTGTATAAGAGCGTTTTGGGCTTTACGTTTTCTGTTTTTGATCGGTACATGTACCGAAAAGATGGACAGGCGGCACTTACATGTCTGACAAGTTTCGCTGTGTAGTCGTGACGTCTATCTCATTCTGACTGAAGCCTGCTGTGATTGGTCGTAAGCGTGGGAAAATCGAGGTCGTGACCTTGAGCCGGAAGTACTTCTGGCTGTGCTCCGAAATCATGATAAATAGTTTTCGTTTTCTAATTCTTTATTCTAGTTGTCTTAACAGGACTTTTGTGACCCAGACTTATTCATATAATAATAAACAATCTCCCAAAACACAAATCTGATCAAAGTTTTACATAGAACCTGCTTCTATACATTAATCTAACCCACTGAGTTGTCCTTTAAACATGTTTCTGTTGATTTTACGGCTATGATGATTGTGCTTTTTTCATTATACTTCATGTTGCCGAATTGAAAAGGAAAGCTTTTATCTAAATTGCATTTTATCTATTTCAGATCCTCATTTCACGAGCTCAAGGTAGGTTGCTCAGAATGAACCGTTGTTAAAAGTTATTACCAGATAAATATATATAATGCAATTGCCTGTTAGAACAGGATCATAAAGTTATATTATATTATATCGGCATTTACTAGTGGCTAAGTTGGGCATAACGTTTTAATGGTCATTGATAATGATAAAACATAGATGGGGTAAATATGTGATAGATACAATACGAGTCGCCGAGCTGTACGTGAAATATTACGAGTGTATTGGCGAGCCGCAGGCGAGACAATACACGAGTAATTTTCACGTACAGCTCGGCGACGAGTGTTGTATCTGGCTTAAACCACGGCCTCTGATTGGCTACTACACTAGTAGTGCAACAGACCGTGGAACGCACTCGTACATGACGTGCTTGTATGTCGAATACAGCACGGCCGAGTCTTTTGTTCTACGCGCTAGCCGTGGTTTAAGAATATATAAATTTATTCACTCGTTTGTGGGTATATCGTACTTGGATTTGTTCCATCAACGAGCCCAGCTCAATTTAGGAAATATCTTGTCGCAATCGAACATCTTACGTGGTTTGATACTGCGTTTCTATTTAGTTTAATAACTCCTGTCACTTCGACTTTTAACGTTTACGTAAGTACCTCTTCTCAAAATTAGGCTTATTGTCTTAATGTGAACATTTTAAGATAAAATGCCATCACAAGAACATTACCGTCGAATCGAGGACTTAAACGCAGTGGGGATAGGTAGAGAAATAAAACACCGTTTTGCCTCCCTATAATGGGGAGGTTTGAACGCATTTTGAAAATTTTCTCCGCCTTCGAACTGATATAGCACTTAGCAGCTACATGTAGAAGAGCCTCTGGTTGAAAGAACATTTCAACTGAGCTTATTAGACTATAAGGGGGTCTGAGGGCGTGCCTCATGGGCATTGATTGTGATGAACGGTAGCTACTGTACCGTTATGTAACTGTTCATAGATGTTTAAGCTTGATGATATTGTTGACAAACACTACAAGTATCATAAGTAATCAGTCGAGATCTCTACAAACGCGGACGTCACCTACCGGTGCTACTATTTAGTTCTAGTCTTAACCACTTATTTTACGTTCGCGCCATGGTACCGCAGTTTGAGTCGTTAATTCGGCGTTCATGACCACAAATCCACAAGCTTCTCTTTATGTCTCCTCATTAACCCAAGCGAAAGTATAAGTAAAGGATAAGCACAAATATGGTGTTCGAAATTTGGCTGGTAGAGGTTGCTTTTATTGAAAGGTCCCTCTAGTAAAAAAATAGTGTTAGTTATTATTTAATAGCATTAGATAATATTAAATTAATTAAGTAATGTTATAGCAAATAAATATCAAAACAAATAGTGCACATATATTATTTTCATTTGTTGTGTTGTAAAGAGGCCAAAAATTAAAACCAGGAAAGAATGAAAAATTCAAAGCAAAATAACGTAAGCCGAAATAATGCAAGCCAAAATATATGCATATTAATATGCATATATGAATATATGTACAAACGGAAGCCAAGAAAGTTATTCGCCAATATTATAAAGCCGAAATGAAGCCATCGAGCACCAACAAAAAATTCTTCATATCCCGACCCATCAGTCAGCCAAACAACGGTGCATTCGTCACACATCTGCATAGAAATCTTGCCTTCCTAAACAAACACTGAACAGCATTTAATGGGAATATTCACAATTTATTACGTTACATGGTGCAAAACTGCCTAGGTCTGAAATTAAGATGACTAAAACTGTCAATTTTATACTAGGCCGATTTAACTTGCGTAGAATCATATGTTGGAAAAATCTAATTATCACAGTGTGTGGAACTTACTTGCATTTGGTTAATTTTTCTGTTAACATCCACATGGTTTCACATGCATTCAGAACTGTGGTGAACATTATGGTGCGTAATGCAGTGATCTTCTAGTTCCATGGTCTTTAAACTTGGGAAAGATGACCAGGCAGCGTCTGAAGTGGAACAGGAGTAGAAATATCAAAAGAAAAAAGAAAAATGCCGATTTAAAACCCATCATCAAGTTAGTTACATTATCAAAACAATTATAAATACAAATGTATTTTGAAAGTTACAAGAATGTCCGTTAGTGAATGAAGATCGAGTTACTTTGATATCACTGCCAATATACAGGGAATAGACGACTCAGTTAGATAAATTGTAGGCCAAATTGCTGACCAATGAAAAACATTATTTTTAATATCAACTGCGTTCAGTCTAATAAACGATTTGACCGCATAAATACCGTTGACATACCGAAGTAAGCTATTGTCACAATTGTGATTTGATGAGGATGCAAAGACACATTAGGCCAATAATGGGCCTTAGGCTTTCGTTGTGGAACTTAATGAAAAAGAAGTTAGTGGCCTTTAAGGTATTTTTTCTTAACACATCTTAGTCGGCTAAAATGGTATACACGAAACAGTTTTTTATATACTAAGCAGGTCAATTTTGGACTAATTTTTTTTTGTGAAACGAGATTAGGGCTATTCAATAATTTCCTTAATTGCTGTTGACCGTCCACTGGTCAAAGGCATGGTTATCGACCGCCCTAAAACCTAACTCTCGCTTTGTCTCCGCCGCACCAACAGAATATCCGCAGTAGTCAGAAGTCCATTAAAATGTTACCAAGTATGGCACATACAAATCGAATGCTGTCATTTAACGTGGTGTTAAGGATCGATACCGGCGGAAGATGCATATTTTCCTGAAATTAATCCCACTTAAAACGCGGTTCACTTCGCAGCTTGACATCGATACGTTTTAAACTGGTACAATAGTTCCAATTAGTTTCTGAACATTGGTTTCCTGTTGTTTCGACGAACCTGGCAACCGCGATTAATGGTAGTTCATGGAATACTGTATACCGCCATGCACCAAGTATTGAACTAGCGACAGTCAGACACGTTCACATCAGGACCAGATTGATCCTGAAATAGGCTAATTGACATCACCAGCAGAAAAAATTAAATTACCATAACATAAGTCTTAGACATTTTTGGTGAAATAGAGTTGTCCACATAATTTGATTGTTTGACGACGCTTTTATATTTTCCATGGGTAAGGTTACTCCTGATGTGAACTGGACATTTGCCGCGTTATTTGACAGTCAAACTCCACTGACAAACAAAGTATGCATAATTCAGTGGCGTACATCAACGCCTTGTCATATACAAATTCGACTTCTAGGTTGGCAGTATTCTTCAACGTGAATCAATAATTTGAGAAACAATACAGGTGTCTAGTCGTTCCCGTTAACATGGCTTTATTTGAAGATTGGTATCTGGGGACAATTCATGGGATTTATCTTGTTATCAATCTCACTTTTTATTCAAAAAACCTTTACTAATACAGCGTAATGGAATCAATAGGATGCTAATTTGTTATACACGCATTGTAACCACAAGTGGAATTAAGAGCAATAATTTTAATGTTTATTTTGCATCCGTAATTGCTTGATATCTATTGTATTGCCAGTAGCACTCTTCAAGTGTGTGGCTTCATGTTTCTATTTCTATTTAAATTGTGTTTAAATTGTGTAAGTGAAACATGCGTTAGTCATGTTACATGTCCATAACAAACAGTGCTGTATTTTGGTATGCAAATATATTGACCACGCCCCCTTTCAGATTAGCATCACAATGGTCCCATCTCCTGTCTCTTTATCACATTATGAAAAATGATAAAAATAAAAATTGATACAACTTTTTAAATCTTATTTCAGAAATATACGACAAACGTTTTTGTTATCATATTAGATGTCCGTTAATATTTTTGATTCAAAAATTGCAATTTAATTCTGTTACATTAAAAAAAATATATACTTTCAGGTGGCTACGTCGGCTGCTACGAGGGTAGGACGGGCGGTGTCTCTGCCGGACGCTACAATACTTCGACCGTAGATCCTACCACGTGTCAAACCACGTGTGGCACTCAGCAGTTCTCTTACGCCCGCCTGTACGACGGGCGGTACTGTTTCTGCTCCAACGCCTTGCCCAGCGTCTTAGTGAATGACAGCCATTGCGATGACCCCTGCACCGGAGATGCCCTTGAGAAGTGTGGCGGGGACAGGCACGTCAGCGTCTACCACGTTGGTGCCGAGATCCAGGGTTTACGCGTCACTGCCGGGGTGTTTACCGCGGGTGTGGAAGGGGCCATAGAGGTCGCCGTCACCAAGGGCAGTGGAGTGGTGTATGAGGTGGATTACGGGGACGGCACTGGGAGGACGGAGGCGAACGCTACCGATTTTGACAGGAAGACTTACGTCATGCCGGGACGTTACGCCGTTACCGTGTACGCCAGAAACGCCGATGGAACCTATGAGGTAAACATCAGCATGTTCAGTGTAAATCTACGTTTTAAACTTTATCCAGCCACACTAATTGATTGTCTTGATTTGTTTGGCTGGGTGTTATTTTATTGATAATCTAGAAAAGCGCTCAGAGAATGCAGGCATCCGCCAAGACGATTTACTTTTAACCACAGATCGTACTACTCCTTTCCAATTCCTTGGAAGAGAGTTCTGTATTGCAAAAAAAGATCATTATATCAAACGACATAAAACCAAACCTTCCACGATAAGGTTAATACATTGGCACCTCTTGCTATGTTTTTAAGTTGGTCCCAGCCATACGTGTTTTATCCTATGCTGATCAAGTATACCCTCTTCTTCCAGAACAAGTCCACTGCAGTGGCGGTGTCTGTGCACGAGCCTGTGCAGGGGGTACAGCTGGTCTGCCCCCAGCTGATTGGCGTCTTGCAGGAAGTCCGCTGTAACGGCACTGTCAACGCCGGCAGTGACATGAAGGTGACAGTGAAATATGGGGACATGCAGAACGAGACCTTTGCCATTGCTGGTAAGTTTTGCCATTGCTTGTGTGTTTTTAAAAAATGGGATGTAGGATTACGCAGTTGCATTTAGGATGGATATACAATTGTGGCTTGCAAACATGGGTAATGTCACCGATTTGATTGATTTTTTGTCGATTCTGCCTTGATTTTTGCTTATGTCTGTACAATACACGTATGCACGTAGCTATGCCTTTTTGATTCATGTCTCAGATTTATAAGGTCGTGTTAAGTCGTATCGACGTCGCGTCGTTGGTCTGTTCGATTTTGAAAATCTCACCTGATGAAAAGATTTGTTATCCGCAAGTATAAGATATGTGAGGCAGAGTCTTGTTTTGCACCAAGAGGCTTTTCTGAGAGAATCAGAATTTGTGTTTGGTATTGTCAAGCATATTTACTTTAATATCCTTACATTTTGTACATTTTAATTTCAAGAGTATTGTCCATAACAACTTCAAATTAACATTGATATTCCCTCTTCGCCAACTCTACATTCCTTCCTCCTCTTGTTGTTTCAGACGCGGGTCACAGTACTGTGGGACCCTCAATCCCCGAGCACGCGTCCACTGTAGACAGCACCAGCTCTAACGACGTCCATCTCATGCCTCAGTCCGAGGTAATGGACCCAGGCACCATTACAGCGTGGGAGTACTATGCGGACATTCCCGGGAATGTGGCTTTCTTGGTAAGAGCTCATTTGGTTTTTGAAATGGCTTTTATTTCAGTGACATGGCTGGACGTGCACTTGTCATCTGCATATTTGAGCGATGTCACCCAACCGACTGCTCTCTGCCGATTCTGTGTTGAATGAGATAAGCCAGTAGCCGTCAGTTGGTTGATTTCTGTCGTTTTTGCCTAATTGTGTCATGTTTGTGCTACGTATAGTTTATCATTTCGATTTGTGCTTTCGTCACACCATGGCATACCAAATCATGCGATGGGTAAAACAGCCGTATTAATCTAGCAAACCGGTCTGAACAATGCTTTTGTTTTAGACCCTTCTGGTTTTACTGTCGAACCGGAAGCCATAGACAAAACTACTAAAGTACTAGTACGAGACTTTAAGGAAAGGGGAGATCTAATAATATGCTTCTGTTTTAGATTTTCCGTCCCAAGTGTCCGACCGGAGAACAATACTGTCACGTGGAGAATATATGCAACAGCACGTGCACTTTGTCGCCTAGGCAACACAGCTGCTCCAACGGATTGTTTTCGTCAGTGCGGGGCAGTTGCGTTAACGCCACAGGCGGGGTTAGTACGGAGCCAGATCGATCGTCAGCCAGACCACCCGAGTATACCATAGTTGAGTCTATCAGTCACGTGATCGCAAGTCGTGGATATGGGGTTCTTAGGTAAATGGTCAATACTACCTCACTCAAAAGACCAACCTGCAGGGGACAATATTACAGGCCCGTGGCCAGGGGGGTTGGGGGGGGGGGTAAGAATGAGCTGCCCTCGTCGGGAAAAGGTCTCCATTGGGTGAAATTTGATCAAGCCCCCCCCCCCCCCCTTTTAAATGGCTGGCTCCGTTAATTTGATTGTACGTCTTTTACACCATGCCGTTTTTGTATGTAATTGAAAACGTAAACAATATGGCATCTGTTCTGTCAGATCGGACAGGAAATTTGCTGCACTTGACGTTAAATTATTCGCTGTTGTTGTTGTTGTTGTTGTTGTTTTTCATATTTAATAAATTATTTTCATCATTACGTTACATTAAGATAAGCTGACTTTATAGTTAACCCACAAGTTGACAACTGGTGTTTTATTTGAAGTCCTAGCAATGCAGTGGATGTGACATATGGTGACGTCATTGGGTACCGCGGGATTGCGGGGCTCTTGGGAACACGTGTGACGTCGAGGGGAGAGCAACCAGACTTGAACTACACCGCCATCACCAACGCAGTCATTGGGGACGTCCTCACGACCAGCAATTTTGCTGGATTGGTGCAGCACCGTCACCTCCTGCGCGTGGTGACGAGACGCCCTTCAAACGTCCTGATATTCCACAAGTACGCCAGCGAGGGCCAGTACCGGGCGGACTTCGCCGTAAGCAATGACAAGATCAACTCCACTGTGACCGTCTCGTCCCAGATCGAAGTGTGGCCGGCCATTAATCAGACGCTTCTTGATGAGCCACCGGCTTACGCTGAAATATCGAAACCCATTAACTTCACACTGTTGCCTCACACGGGTAGGTTTTAAGATGCAAGTGGAAGCTTCCCCCCCCCCCCCCCGCAAATTGTTCTTTATCTGATTCAATTCATGCGATTACTTTTTGTGATAAAGGTACTCGTTTTATATGTGAATGATTATGCTTCTAAGGTGATCCCTTGTCTTTTTATTTCGATAATGATTTTCGTATACCCACTAATGTCAATATTGGCATTGCAAGGATCTATATAAATTACTTGACAAATGGAAAGCATTGCCTTAAGGCCTATTCTTTTACAATTAAAAATACCATATTTCATTTACACATGGTTCGACTTTTCAGGCCGTAATTTGACATATGAGTGGACGTTCAGTGAGGGTACCGCTGTCTCCACCACCATTCCCAGTGTCACCCACACTTACACAACCATCGGGCCTCACAACGTCAGCGTGCGCGTCTTTAACGGCCTCTTCGAGAACAGCACCTCGTCCTCGCTGGTCATCCAGGAGCCCTTGCAAGGGGTGGACATCATCACTGACCACGCTCAACTTAACACTCTTCACAACATCACTCTGAACGTGACCGGCGGGACAGAATACTCTTGCGACGTGGACTTTGGGGACGACACCTCGGTAGTGACGATTCCAGTCTCCCAGCTGGTTGGGATGGTCCAGGTGGGGCACGTGTACACCATAGGCGGAATTCACACGATCATCGTGTCTTGCTACAACATGATCAGCCGGGTCAACGCCACCCATGATATCCCCCTGGGGGTGCCAATCACAGGGCTGCGATTCCTCAAGGAGTCCGCCATAGTCGGCGTGCCGTACGAGATAACGTTTGCCATAGACACGGGCTCTAATGTCACTTTCGAACTGTTCTTTGCCGGGACACCTATCACTAGTGTGAGATTCGACCCCAACACCATGACTGGTGATTGGGGTGCAGGGTTGTACACCAGCGCCTCCCCCTCTGTCAATGAGCTCACTTTACGGGCTATCAACACGGTTGGCACGGAAGAGATATCCGTCAATTTCACCACGGAAGAGGCGATCCCTCGGCCTACGCTGTCCGTGGATCACACGATGTTCCAGGTGGGCGGTACGGCCACTTTCAAGCTGATGATTACAGCGGGCACCAGCGTATCTATCGTGTGGGACTATGGAGATGGCAGCAGAGAGACATATTCCATACCGGTCACGTCTGCCTGGGTGCAACAGGTGCCAAGCTTGTCAATCACGCGAAACCACACCTACGCCGCAGGGGGCACGCCCATCGCTACGATCATAGTAGCTAATGCATACAGTAACCACACGTTTACACAGCAGATAGACGTCATAACACCAATTTCCAATTTGAGCCTTGCAAGCAACAGTCCCGTTGCTTACATACCACCAGGAACTGCCTCTATCATGGTACTACAAGGGGGCGGAGCACCCGTTGCCGGGGCAACCATCAAGATTGACTGGGGTGATGGAACGGCTGTGGAAGTCAAAGACCTGGACGTCGGTTTCAACTACTACCACGAGTACGAAGCCAAAGGCAACTACCGAGTCACCGCCAATGTTTCCAACCCGATTAGCTTCATGTGGCTTGAAACTGGTTTTCTGGTTGCGGAACCGGTCACCGACCTCCGACTGAGCACCGTGCCCCCTCATGTCCCGGTCGGACAGCCTTGTGTGCTGGTCTTGACCATGTACCAGGGAGAGAACGTCACGTTCTACGTGGACTTTGGTGATAGTTCCGGACTTGTAACCAAAACAAGAGAAGGTAGGTTTGATAACCTTCAAGTTACCAGTGAAGTCGTGGTGAGAAATACGTCGGATTTTTATAATTCTTACAGTTAATTGCAGGATTAAAGGCATGTATTTAAATATCGCCTGGGTATTCAAACATTTTGTATATTTCGGTAGCTGAAATAATAAAAAGGTAGGTCTGTTATCCATTTGGAAATCATTTTGTTATCCTCAAATTGTTTTCGAATATTACCACCTTTTATATCCGTTTATTTAGGCACTACCCCGTTGGACGAGGACACAGTCACTCACTCGTACTCTACCACAGGGAACTATACAATCACCGTGATAGCCAGCAATATGATGGGGAACACCACCAAGACGTACGTGATAGCGGTCCAGAACCCTGTGCAAAACGTCACCTTTGACGTCAGTTCCGATGCCCCCAGGCTAGGCATTGGTAAGTTACAATATGGTATTGCAAAATAAAAAGGAACAGTTGCAAAAATAATTTTTTGATTTCTTTTGTGATAAATAATTGTGTAATTAATTTGTGAAACGTCTGTCGTCTATTGCGAAGTTTCTATGCCGTTGTGAAAGGGATGGTAGGCCTTGGAATGGAAATACGTGGTCCCATATTATAAGTACAGGGTGGGGTTAGCCAGAGTATTGGGGTGAGTGTATGGGACGAATGTCACCTGTACAAAGGAATTGGGGACGGACTACAGTTCTTAGTGGACTACCATTCCAGTTACTACCCTTAAGCGATATCTATAAGTTCGGCACAGAAGGCCAAATTTACTTTTATTCTTATTGAAGCATTGATACGGCACCTCAACATATGCAGTACTGTGAAAAGAAGTGTTTTGTACAAAACCCGTTTCTGAAAATTATAAAACGCTTCAAAGTATCATACTGGGCACACACTGATAAATAGCATTATATTGACGACGATCTTGTATTTTAGGTGCAGTACAAATAACCATAGATTTCACTACGAGTCCACCAAGCCATGACATTCCCAGTGAGGCGACTATTTCTGTGGAATGGGAAGCCGGGCAAATTGACAGCCTCCCCTTTGACTGTGCGGCTAACTGCCAAAGGGTACTGTCACACACCTTTAACGTACCTGGCGTCCACACCAGTAATGTCACCATCTATAATCTGGCCTCCACGGTCACCTACACTGTTGATGTAAGTTTCTTTGGTATCCTAGCAGTTTCATAATAAAAGACTGAGTACGGTTTGTTCAATATGAGTATGGTTTGTTCAATTCAGCCCATACCTTTGGCTTTGTCTATTGCTGATTACTAGATAATAATACTTTGGGAGTTGGAAAAACGATATATACAAAGTGGATCAATACTTAGGAACACACTCTTTCAAAACGAAATTCCCAGTTGTAGATAGACACAGTACAAAACATTCTAGATATTTATCATTGATTGACTGTACACATTTCAATTTTAATTGTTTAAACAACTCACGCACCCTTTATTTTATTTTACTACAAAAACAACGTATATTTGTTCTCTTTCAGACAAGCGTGTATGAAACCATCACGTCTATCGGGGCAACGGCAATGTACCAACCTCTGATCCCGATAGGTGGCCCTGATATCGTTGGAATCGGACCAAATCGGGTCGCATTTCCTTTGAACCGACCAGTCAAATTCCACGTCAATACATCAGGTAATACTTTTCATTAAAGGGCAAAACAGACCCAGAACAGGCCTCGTGTGGTTGGTAAAAGGACAGTGTAAATTACAAGCGAAGAGGTTTGAAATTAATCATTTAGTAGCGTTTTTTGGTAGCGGTGCACCAAATTTTCTTCTCTCTCTCTCTCTCTCTCTCTCTCTCTCTCTCTCTCTCCCCACCCACTTCATGTTGTCTAGTGTAATTCTCTCCACAGGTACTGTAAAAGATTATGAACTCACGGCCCATGATGAGAATCTCAACGTTGTCTTGCACTGTATTCATACGTCCTGGCCGCTGACGACACTGTTTGATACGGTAAGACAGCTCACGACACAGATTTATGTCATACAATTAACTTTCATTTATGTCAATCAACAGTGCTAACATTTTATTTACAGAAGTCATAGCTGTGCCATAGGATGTTCGTTTGGTATTGATTTAAGGGTTAAAACGACAAATAAAGAAAGCCATTTACTTAGTCTTGAACAAACGGCAAACGTAGGTGATAGTTGGTATGGAATGCCTTACTTTGTCGTGTGCTTATATGTTTAAATTTTTTGATCGAGGGATGTTTTTATTTTATTTTATTATTTTTTATTTTGTATTTTTTTTAAATCTGAGCTATCATTAACTATTTTTGTAGGCCAATAACTATACGGTGAATATAACGGCACGAAATCCGTTTTCTTCTGAGAGCGTCGTTCTGAACATCTATTTGGGGGAGCCAGTGGATATCCTCGAGATCAAAGAGAACGGCACAACGGTCACAGGCCCCGGGGAAAACAAGACATTTTTGGTCGTCTTCAACTCTACTGGTTCCGACTCCTGTGTGTACGTAGCTTTCGACAACGACCCGTATGGCGTGTACGGATGGCGCGACGCCTGCTACAAGAACTATGCGTCGTCCGTGCCATATCTGGGTGTCATTCCCGTAGGTGTCCTCTCTATCACTACTGTGTTTCCTGACATAGGGGACCACCAGATGAGCGTCCGAGGTTTCAATCCTTTCACTGACACCACCGTCAACTTGAGTTTTCCTATCTCCAATGTGCAGTGCCAGAAGCCCCAAGTCTCCATAGACCAACAGAAGGAGTTGTTCTATGACCCGCGAGTCGTGCACATGAAGGACAGCTTTCAACTAACCGGGATCACGGTGATTAAATGTCAAGTTACTCTACTTAACGACAAACAATGGACGCTTGAAGAGGTGGACGGCACAACCGGTGACACCATCAGAACCATTGACATATCCTCGATTCCATCGGCCATGAGTGAGGAGATCGTCCTTCCGAAGAGATATCTTCCCTATGGGGTCTACAAGTTTACCTTCACGGTTCAGATGCGGCGGGACCAGTTCCCAGAGGGAGACATATTTGAGAGATCTACTGCGACGCACGTGCGCGTGTCCGAGTCCCCTCTTGTGGTGGTTGTATTGGACGGGGGTCTTACTAAAGTAAAGCGTGGACACGGTAGGAATATAACGTTATCTCCGGGAGTGTACTCAAAGGACCCGGATTTAGACCCGACCGCTGACCAGGTGCGTATGCCATGTTACAGCCTGTTCTTTTGAAGATGCATTCACAATGCAGTTGTGATGGCTTAACTTGGTGGCGCCTTGAATTCAAACCATAAGAAGCCAATCGAGTCCTAGATCCATCTTACATATTTGGCACTTTAAAGTAAAGGTTGAGTCAGAATGTATACAAAGAGCTATGTCAAAATATACGAATATGTTGAATACCAGTTTTGCCTAAATTTGAGTAAGAGTTCAAAAAATAATAATAATAATAATAAAGCAATCGTACTTTAAACGGGTTTTTAAAACACCCTGTTTAAAGGAAATATTGACGCAAACCATTTGAAGGCACGTGTCAGTAGTGAATTACAATTACATGATGTCGGGTTCTCATTGCAGGGACTGACCCAGTTCGAATACTTCTGCAGGCAGGTAGGGGAAGAGTTCGTACTAACCTCGCCCACAGGCGTGATTCCCTGGGACATATCCCGAGCCAACCCTAGCTCCCCCTTCACCTCGCCCCCTGCTCCAAACCAGGGCGGCTGTTTTGGTAACGGACCCGGTGCACTGAACATCACTTCTGGCGAGCTCAGCTTCAGCACGGGTACCATGCTAGAAAACATCACCTACGAGTTCATCGTCATCGTGGCGAAAGGTGACAGGAAGGGGTACGCCTCTCTGCTGGTTGAACTTGTAAGCGGTGATCCACCAGAGTTAACCATGAGGTACGATAGCAAGAAAACCATGCAGTAGGCCTACCGCAAAAATTAATGTAACACTTGCTTTGCAGATCGGTGGCAATTGTCTTTTTTATTTTAGAGAACAAAAAAGAAAAAAACGAGACACGGGAGTCAAACATACACATTTGTTCAGCTTACCTGAGCACAAAATCTACTGTCACATGGCTTTGTCCAGCGGCATTTGGTCTGGATTATAGAGCTAATGCGGACAGCATCTTCATCTTCATCTTCGTCTCAAGGTTAACATACATATCGATAAGCTTCAACGTTTTAGAGGTCTGAAAATAAAGAAAGTATTGAACCTGAACCTAAGAGTCACTGGTTGTGGCGTACATTAGTAATTTTTTCTTTACTTTTTTGTGTGTTCAGTCCCAGTTGCCGTATTTCACGGTCTCCTAAACATTTTTGAGGCAAAACAGTCAAATATAACTTATTTCGAAAGTTTACAGACCTTTTTTTTTAAAACTCCACCATAGTCCAATACTGCAAGTGACATAATTTTGTTTTAGATGTGGTTTCGGCGTTTTTTGTGTTCCAACCGAAGGCGGCCAAAAGATTCGGCGATCGTCCAGGATAGCGCTGATTAGTGACTGCCTAGCGGGCTGTGACGCAAAAGATATGAACTACACGTGGTCCTTACAGGTGCAAAGTCAAGAGGGGGTCTACGTCACGTGGCACGAGATACGGCACATAGACAAATATATCGACGGTAAGTAAAGAAATTGTTTAACGTATTACCCAGAAATGTGTTGTTTTTTTTTTTAAATATTAGAAAAATTGGTTGATACCGAACTATCTGAGTTGATATGGATTGCGGAATTATTTTGAATGACCATATTATTCAACCTTGATTTAACCTCCCCTTAACGAAAACCTTTAAACTAAAACATGTTGTGTGTAGCATGGTTGTAATAGCAGTATTTAATACATAACTATATATAAAGATGTAGAATGTAGAATACACTTAAGGTATGCTCATAAACGGGGATGAATTGAACCGGGAATAGACCAAATTGCGTCATGTGGCGTCACGAGACGTCCAGAGTATAAGTTTCACATATCTCAGTCTGGCTACACCAAGACCACATATATAACGAGTACAAATAGGTATTTGACGCACTTGATTATTTCCGGACTAAGATAATCCTTTTAGCCAACATATCTGGGGTCGTTTTCACAACTGTAAGAGCGAACATTTAGTGTTATTTATCAAGAGATAAAAAATTAATAAAGCAAAATTGATACCAAATTTCGAATGTCTTTGTGAAACAGGGCCCCAGAATGATATATATATATATATTGAAAGTAAAAGTGTTTTTCCTGCACGAGTATATATATATATATATATATATATATATATATATATATATATATATATATATATATAACCGTAATGCTCAATCAGCAGGAAATATACGTCTGTAATTTAGGGGTATGTCAAACTGTGTTTTACAGATACGAACAGTACACCATGTGTCGCATGACAGTGTTATATTACTCATGTAAATCAATCAGAACGTACGCAAAACGCATGAGTTTTTACCTGGTATTTTTATTACGCACTACTGTAACATTTAGACGAGATCGATTTCATCCCGGTGATAAGCATAGTCGGCGATTACAGACGGGCTGACTGTGTAGAACTTTACTTTGAAGAACAAAGCAATATCCTGGGCATAAGGGCTAAATACTGTAATGGGAGAATATGGATAAGGAATTCTTTGGTTCCAAAACACTGTTTTTGTCTGTTGTTTTGACATTCAGTTGTCAGGACTGCCGACAATATAAGTGCATTGAACTTTTTTTTCCGTTATTTTGCAAATTATATAACCTTTAACAGCAAAGACAACCTTTTAGTAAAAATTGTGCAAATGCCATGTGGGATTGGCCACCCAGGATACGGTGTTGCTTTGTTTTTGTATTATGACAAACAACGTAACATTGGGTTGCAGTGAAACATTAATATGCGTTCGTTTTATTTTATATACAGGTCGCTCTGTGATCTGTGTTAATATGTACATTTTTAGTTCTTGATGTATCCCAAATATTTAAAACCATAATCTGAATGATACCTTGATGATCAGAGCATTATATTGTAATTTACGCCTGCATACTGCGAAGCTGCTGATATTTATTACGACAAAGACTTTAACTTTCGGTAAATCCACCCTCTGTGAAAAGTACCGAATTCATACAAGTAACCGCTAAAACAACACCAGAGCCTACAATATTGTTGCGCAACCTGAAAGATATTTGATGAAATACCTTGCTTCTCTTATTGCATTATATATTCCAAACCATCTTTCGTAATTGTAGAGCTACCTTCCTGTCATTACTGCATTGCTTTGCTGGCAATGGTTTTTACAGTATCGCAGCCCATGCTTGCTTCTTTGAAGTTGTTAATTCTGATATTGTGCTCTGATTATCAAACAGGTGCGTGTCACCTCTGTATTATGTTCACGTTAATATGATATGCATGTCGTCTCTTTCATACCCAATATTGCATGTAACACCTTCGTTTCGGGCATGACTTGCTCTAACCTGCAGGACTCAGAGGTGAGTATATTTCTACGTACCAGTACTTCAACATTTTCAAACATTTTACGTTGGTTATATCAATGTATGAAAGAACCATTTATTATATCAAGTATCTTTACTTATGTAAAGGTCCGAGTTTCGATGACTTTATTACTTGTGCTTACAGTAGTATGTTTAAAAATTTTTCATAGTTTTAGGATAATTTTCAGGCACATGGGCCACCAGCTGTAGGTATTTTTCAGCAAAGCTGAAAGCACTCGTGTAAATAGCCCTCCTGGCTCCAGTTTCACAAAAATACTTACGTCAGTTCCCTGGCTTAGTTGACTAGGATTTCCATCAGGGTGCTGCTACACTGCTCCTGATAGGGTAAGGTGTGCCAATGTGACCATGTAACCTTGGTAATTAAGTTCTTAGCCAGGGAACCTGACTAAAGTTTTTTTTGTCAAACTGGAACCTGATATTTTGCATTTCAAGTTGATTTTGACCATACAACTATTGCTGTGGTGAAATATGAAATCTGTTGCTATGTGCACAGATTATTCGCTCCAAAATGGATCTCTTCCACAAAATTACCGTTTCAGTACTGAGTAAAATGATAAAAGCAACTACCCCGTCGTTGAAAATGCAGAGATTATAACTTTATTTTTAATTTTCGTCTTAACAAGTGTTGGACAAATACTGATTAATTTGTACCATAAAAAAGTGCGTGCGCGTGTCTGTGTGTGAGTGTGAGTATGTCAGTCTGTGTGTGTGTGTGTATGCATCGAAAACTTTCATTTGTTTCTCTGTCATTTTATTATTTTTTATTTATCTATCTGAAGTTTAAAACGTCAATTGATTTTTAATGTTGTGCATTTACATCGTTAATTTACAATCGGCCATACTGTATACTTGTCTATATTCAATTTTTTAACCGTTTTCTTTTGATGTTTTGCTTATTTTATGTTTCATTATTATATAGGGGATGCCTCTTATTCGATTGGCATTAAAAGGAACATATATGAAGCGAAGCCCAACATCAGACAGGTCAAGGTGACATTGGTGGCCAGACGCTTGACGTCTGCGCAGTCGGGCAGTGCGCAGCTGATACTGCTGGTCAACGACCCGCCCGATGGAGGCAACTGCTCCGTGAGTCCCACCGTCGCCGAAGTGTCCACGGATAAAAACTGGAGGATCGAGTGCCAGGGATGGACAGATGAGGATTTCATAGCGTCTTACAAGTTCTTTGGTAATGGGAAATCTGTACACTGTTCCTCCTGGCAATTGATGTTGTTTTGTGTAGGCCTACTGTAAATAATCATGTTTTAGACAGTTGCGGTACATTCTGTAAATGAATGGCTCAAGAAGTCTCGAAGATGGACTGTTTTAAATCTAAATTCCAAGTAAATCGCATAAGGGTTTGGTATACAAAGAGAGTTTCATATTTAAGAAACGTGTGCCTGACAGAAGCACATTTCTCAAAAACGATGACAATGATCTAATGGTTATAATAATAATAATAATAAGAAGAAGAAGAAGAAGAAGACGAATAAGAAGAAAAGTCCTGAAGTAAATGATCAGTGGCTTATAGACATTATATTTATTCTTAAAAGACCCTGCTTCCGAGACCGTTATCTTTGCTTTTGCTTTCAGCCCTGTTCAATGGATCAAGCGTTCCGAAGAATCTTGGCTTTAATTCACGCGGAATTCTCGATACATCCATGCCAAAGGGACCCTCTTACGACAACTACTGGATGACTATATATACCAATATCACAGATTCAGATGGCAGTACAACGACGTACAAGGTTGGGCGCATACAGGTATGGCGTGTTCACATACTGTGTCATAAAAAAACTTTTTTATCTTTAAATACTGTCACTATAGACAAACGGATTGACTGACTGGTAGGCTAATTGCGTTGAGTATGACTGTCTGCTGAAAAAGTGAAAAAGAAAAAAGAAATGAGCAAAGGTGGTGGGTAATCTGTTGACATAAATGGGCCAATTTCCTCTTCAGGTGAACCCAATGTCGACAACAGAGGTAGAGTCACTAGTTTCGAACCTCACCGCTAGTGGCAGCACTAATATGATAGCCCAGATTGCAGCCAACGGGAACCTTGAAGACACAACGCAGACTATCCAATCCTTGGCGTCTGTGCTTAACACCTTGGGCAGTTCTGAAGGTAGAATACTTTATAATGTTGTGTTCAAAGACAATATTGACCCTTTGTTAAAAATGGATTCAGTTGTCAAATTGAAACATTTAGGCCCACTTTGAAAAGGAACTTACTCTGAATAAACCTGACTAAATATCTGAATGCAAAACACCAAAAACAAAGCTGTGCGTAGGTCTATTTTTGTTTTCTGGTTTCCCATTAAAACCCAAAATTGACTTTATCTTTATCCTAGCATTTAATATTCAAATCCTTATTTGAATCTTAAGTCTTCAACGTTATCCGAGCGATATGTTTAAATGTATCTGATCCATAATGAGATTATGAAAATAATTAAACGCTTTGCTTTTTACTGCATCCTGATTTAAATGGTGGTTTGGACACATACTGTACCTGAAATACCACTATCCTTCATCACTTATTAAATATGTCTAAAATAATATGATATATTGGAAGAGGGTAGTTGAATAGGCGTTTGTTGTGTTTAAATTCAATTATTCTTATATTGCCAGGGTTTAATTCCGGATTTGGACCAAGTGAAGCAACCTCGGTAAGAATTTGAAATAAAAAAGTCATATCGCTCATAACTCATCAGTTTTATTCGTTATTCAGAAGTTAATCGTTAATTTTTTATTCGTAGTCCGCAATAAGCATTTCCAAATGAAATATTAATTCAGTAAAATATCCGAAAGAAGTTTTCATCACACAAGATACACAAACCTTGAAATCGAATGTTTCAGACCCAGAATACGTCGTCAGCAGAAAAGGAAGCACTCCGTGAAGAAGTCGCATTGGTAAGATTGCACGCACACGCACACACACGCACGCACACACACATGCACGCACACATTGCCATCTTGTTAGTAAAATGTATTTGATCAAGCAATTTAACAATTGGGACATGAAATGAAATGAAACACAATTCTGTTTTTAAAAACTGACTTAGACGTATTTCGAAGTTCATCGAGATTACGTCTGTGTACAATATAAACATTCAATTCTTCAGTTCATAAGAGATAAGACCCAAAATTGTTGTTATGACAATACATGAAAACCACACTTAAACATACCTGGTTGAATAAGGGTAACCAACAGCCAGCAAATAATTTGAATTTTTTGTTAACATTATATGTGTATCTTCCCTTCGGTTAATAGCGTCATTTTAGCTAGCATTTATGACAAGACAAAGGATAGATTATTAGAGCTAAGATATCGGCAATCCCAAATTAATGCCATTGCACCCTTTCAGATAAGAACTCAGATGATCGACGCAGTGTCGGACAGCGCACCCACCACCCCAAGGCAGGTGCAGCTTCTGGCTAGCTGCCTCACGGAAGTACTGCAGCAACCATCTGAGATAAAACGGGGCAGCCAAGTAAGTAATATATATATCAGACATTATACCAGCCTTGTGGAATATGTTATTGATATAACAAAACGAAATAAATACATGGTGCATTAGACACATATTAAATACACACACGCACACACACATATTTTACAAACGTTATGATCATGTTCACCATAGTCGTCCTAAAATGAACTTCCCTTACTGTGTTAAAAAATTCATAGTAACAAAACAGCCCAAGAGTTTGAACACAGAGGAATACTACACACACTGGACAATAGAAGTGTCACCCCTACTGAACCAATACTTTGGGGGAGATAAATGACCGTGGAATGATATGCTCCTGGTATTATTTTATTAACATCAAATTTCACAAAAGAAACGGTTCTGACTGAACAATTCAACTGTATCGATATTCTGACATTCCGCCTCTTCAGGTTAATAACTTTGATTACTCTGATTCAGGGGTTTACACTTCTATTGTCCAGTGTGTGTAATTCGATATCTCAGATTCTTATGTATTTTAGGTCAGAGGCCTATAACTTCCACGAATAAACTCATCATCATCATTATCATCATTAAAAGCGTTAAGATAGTAGTAATATGTATATTTAGGTCATTTCTTCATGTACATATTTGCGCCAGTTGCAATGTGGAGACATTTTCTAAAATGGAAGTTGCCATGTTCATTTCAGTCAAAGGTTACTGCCATTGTGAGCGGATTTATCGACGTGCTTCAGGCACAAGCTGCTGACCAAAGTAAGGAAGAAACTGTAGAACTGGCTACCACCATTTTGAGTAGTGTAGGAGCAACAATCGCGGTAAGTGGAATGCTTTTTATGTTTTGTCTTTATCTTTTGCTGTTACCCGCGGTTTACCCGCGGTAGTAAATACAACTCTGTTATTACCTTTCATATTATCTATTAACTTATTACCAGTTGGTTCCCGTGCCGTTTTCTTTCTATTTCTATCTCTACTTCATTCAATCTCAAGCGGCCTTCTCCAGTTTACATTACACGCAGATGTATAAGTATTATAACAGCATGTCAATCAACTCAGTTCCTCTACAAAACACTCTCCCCTCTCTTTATTCACTCCTGGCTGTCAATTATTACACTTAAAGGGTTTGCTTCATGCCGTCAGAATGGCCTGAACGGAACATATTCTTCAGAAAACATGCCCAACTAACGATATCTTTATCCAAATACACAAATTAAAAGCTCATTTTGTAAATTTTTGGCTTTAAAAAACGTCCTATTTGCTCGGCCTGGGAGTTAATGAGCTACGTGGTCACGTGGTCCAATGACGACAATCGAGCCACTGGAGAACAGAGCGTGCTTAGCTGTCAAACTGAGCTGCATTGTCTACCTGTAAGATGACTTCTCTGGCTTCTGATAAAAGTTTATACTCATTCAAATCTCTTACCCGAGGGGTCTAAATCCTCGTGAAGCTGTGTAAAACCATTTCCCGTCTAGTCATTTCTTTAACAAGCATTTCATTATGGTTATCCCAAGTTGTATAAAACACT